GTTCACAAGTTTTACAGGGTGGCACTGAGCCTGGACATTAGAGTTGAAATACAACATAGCAGTAAGATAAAATTCAGCTTACAAAGGTGCTTGATAGTGACCTCAAAACTACAGGTACAGTATACAGGTATATATATATATATATATATATATATATATATATATACATATACATACACATACATACATACAAGGGCCAATGGTCAACCAGATAGTTGTGGTAAAATACAGAATACAGAGCAAAGTGAAAGCAGAGCCTAGCTAGGAAGACAACATATGTATAGGTGCTGCAGCAAGCTCTCAGTGACTGTGGAAACATCAGTATAATTATTTATATTTATTGATCTGAGTTTAACTAGAAGTCAAAACCAAAGCTGTATTATGTTTCAACAAAGTATTTAATCAGTAAATTTACTTTTGTGGGTGTGTTTATTTGTATGTGTGCAAGCAAATGCAAGGAGGTTAGAGGATACCCTCATGTGTTAGTCCTCAACGTCTACCTTGTTTCAAATAGGATTCCTTGTTAGACCGACTGGCCTATGAATCCCAGAGATTCTCCTGTCTCCATCTTCCATCTCACAGTAGGAATACTGGGATTACAAATGCAAACTACTACATCTAACTTTACACAGGCTTTGAGGATTTGAACTCAGGCCCTTAGGACTGTGCAACAAGTGCTTTACCTATTGGGCTATTGCTCCAGCCCTCAACCAGTAACTTTAGAGCAGGGTTTCTTTCCCTTAGCTCTCCTAGCATTTTTGGCCAGTTTGCCTTGTATGCATGCTGTCCTCTAAACGCACTGCAGTGTGCTCAATGGCATCCTTGATCTTGACTTACTAAGAACCAACAGAACTTTCTCCTCACTTTGAAGTGACAATGAGAAATGCTGAAGATTGCCAAACTGTTTTTAACTGACAACAGCTCAGGAGCCATAAAAACAAAAACAAAACGAAACAAAACAAAAAACTACCAGCTGTTGCATTTATGGCTTCCCCATTATAAACTGAGAATAAAACATGGTAGATGGGAGCTGAATGCCTAGTGTAATAGACATTAGTCACGTGTGCCTAATGAGTCCTTAAAATATGGCTAGTAAGAACTGACATACACTATAAGATGCATTTAAGATTTCAAAGACTTAGTATTTAAAAGAATGTATACTATTTCAGTAATTTTTTTAAAGCAAACTTATTTTATTGATTATTATGTGTGAATATGCCAGTATGGACATACAAGTGTCACAGTGTACATGTGGAGATTAGAGACAACTTTCACAAGTCTGTTTTCTCCTTCTCCCATGGGACTGGGTAGTCACACTCACGTCATCAGGTTTTCATAGAAGTCTACTAAACCATCTCGCTGGTCCTATTTCAATAATTTTTACACTGGTTACAGACTAATGTGTTAATGTTTTATATATAGTTGAGCTCAAATAAAAGACAATACTATAATTAAGACCATATTTTTTTCTTTCCTTTTCAAAATGTTTGACTGCTCTCTGGTAGGCTGACTAAGCTCCAATAAATAGCCCACTATTATGGCAGTACAAATCGGGCTCCATGGGTTATTATTTTTAAAAAGAAGATATGAACCTGGGAGAGTGTGGGAGGTGAGAAGAAACTGGAGGAATTAGGTAAAGGGAGGAGTAGCGGGTGAGTGTGATCAAAGTACACAGTATAAAATTCTTTCTTCCGGTTTTTCAAGGCAGGTTTGCTCTGTGTGGCCTTAGCTGTCCTGAACTCACTTTATAGACCAAACTGGTCTCAAACTCACAGAGATCCACCTGCCTCTGCCTTCCCAAGTGCTGGGATTACAGGCGTACACCACTGCACCTTGCTCAGTATGAAATTCTTAAAAAGTAAAAACATATTTAAAATGTGGTCTACTTATTAGAAGAATTAGCATTGCATAGATGGCTTATATTACAGCTCTACTGAACAGAGCTGAAGTCATTCAAAGAAAACTCATCCTTCATGCCACCAGTGGCCTTGGATGAGGGAAGGACATTCCACAGAGCTGCCTTCAGTGTTCCCCCTGAAGTATCCCCAGACTTGCAGCTCCAGTGAAACCTAGATATACATTTTCAACTATCTACAAAACCACTTGAACCTCCTAGAGCAGTGGTTCTCTACTTTTCTAAGGCTGTGACCCTTTAATATAGTTCCTCATGTTATGGTGACCTCCCAGCCATAAAATTATTATTATTGTTACTTCATAACTGTATTTTTGCTACTGTTATGAATTGTAAAGTATATATCTGTGTTTTTCAATGGTCTTTTTAGGGTCACAACCACAGGTTGAGAACTGCTGTCCTAAAGGAACCCCAAACTTTAACTTAAATTATCTCAAAAGGTTTCCCCTCAATAGTTCATGTAGTAAATGTTTAATAAGTGGGTGTATCAACCATAGATTTTCTTCTCTGTGCCATCTGCAACCTCTCAATAAGTCTTGCTTCTTCTATTTCCTAAATGTCTCTAACATCTTCCCTTTTCTGACCCCCACTGGCTAAGCAAAGTCACAGTTATGGCCCCTTTTATCAACTCCCCTTGGTCACAGTATGCCCTATCGCAGATAAAAACTTTGCTTACTGTTGCCTTTCCTATAAAACATTAAACTATATAAAGACATATATGGCTTTCCTTATTCACTGCTACAACTCTACTTCATTCATTTGTGAATTAACAGATGAACAATCAAGTTCAAACTACTACCTCACAGTTTTCCACTTACAAAGGAGCTGGCTTGCAAGAATGATGATTCCATAGAATGTGAGGCATGGTAAAAATATCTGTTCTGTGTATAGCCATCAGTGCATATGTACTAAGAAAAATACTAGAATTCTAGAAAGGGGAACAGGGAGAGGAAGGGAGAGACAGGGAGTGCTTGTGGATCACATGCCCCAGACTCATCTCTAACAAATCTACCGCACCTGATCTCAAATTGCAGCCTTTCTCCAGTTCTGATGCAGTTTTATATGAAAAAAGAATCCCCAAGCCCTGCACCAACCTGATGCTCAACATTTCCCATCTTAGATTCCGTGATCCTAGAGTATCCACTGTTTCACACTGACTCAGTGAAAAGTAGCTGTGCTCTATAAAGAACAGTTATGATAACAAGAACTACTTCTTACAGCAAGCCATTCTCCTACAACATAATGACTGTTTCCCCGTCTCCTTTCATTAGAAAGTATCAGCCACCTTCCTGCCTAAGACCACCTTCATCATTCACTAGTCCATCACTAGTCTGAAGGAGGGGAAGGCCATGGAATAAACTGTAACAGAATCTCTATTAACAAGCAATTATAGCTGTTCTTTTGGAAGCTTAAAAATAGTTAGAACTTTCCCTCCTCTTAGTGGTGTTTAAGGAATTCCAGATCTAAGGGTAAGGAAGAAGACCTTTTAAAGTCTTTTCCCAATGTAGGTATTTAAATAAAAAAGAACACATAGACATTTATATAAAAAAGAACACATAGACACAAGGGCAAAAACTAACCTGGTGTTTTTATTTATCTTTTACTAATTGGACAAAAACTGGGGCAGAAGTAGAATGCATTACAGATGGGACAAGCATAAAGATGTGTGGTATAGGCTAACTTGACAGGCAAGGTTAGCTACAAGTCCAAAAATACTTAGTGGGATTATACTTGGGTAACTGACTTTACAAACTGTCTTATTTAGAAGTTATTAAAAGGAGGCTGGTTATTGTGGCACACACCTTTAATCTCAGGCAAAGGCAAGTGTATCTCTGTGAGTTCAAAGCCAGCTTGATTTATAAAATAAGTTCCAGGATAGCCAGGGCTTTAACACAGAGAAACCCTGTCTCGAAACCAAAACCAAGACAAAAACAAGTTATAAAAAGGCCATTCTATGGGGACTGGGAAGAGTGGTCAGGCATGGTGGTGCACAACTGTAATTCCAGCATAGAGGGATCCCAGGGCCCAGCCTAGCCCCACTAAAGCTCAGTCTCAGTGATAGGTCATCTTAAAACACAAGGTGGACAGGGATCAGAGTCGCCCAAGTTTGACCTCTGGCCTTCATGTCCATTTACACACACAGGTGCACACAGACAAGCACACACACAGTATTTCATGATTTTTTTTCACACACATCATCCCTACCCTCTTCCATCCTTTTTCCTCACTGTACTGGTTCCCTTCTTTCTCATAAATAGTTCTCCTTCTACTATAATGTCATATATATGTCTGTGTATGTGCACATGAATGTCTACTATGTATGAGCACACAGATTCCACATGTGAAAGAAAAACATAATATTTTATCTTCCCTTCAATTACCCTGTCAAGGTCTTCTGATGGCCTTTTCTATAAAATAGTTCAATGTTCCCAGAAAACACTTTTGGTTCTCCAGTAGGAGAAAGCAGCTAAGGTACAACAAAACACAGCAATAGACTTAGAGAAAACAAATAGACACTCAGGCTGCCCCTCAGTCTTTCTGTGACTTTAGACAAATCCCAAGTCTCTTAATACCATGCATTTTCAACTGACATATCTTTACCTAAAGGGACAAAACATGGAGTGTATGTGGTAGAGTTCTTTTTTGTATGAAGCATAGATGAGAACAACCTTTCTGTGATGTTAACATTCCATGGGGCTGAGACTGTGAATAGTATTTAGAAAGGCTTTGTAGGGAACTAGTTAATGGTCTCCTTGGTCATGAATGTTCAACATCACGAGCCTTATAGGATAACTATCACACAAGCATGCCTCTGCCTCCTGAGTACTAGGATTACAGGCGTCACTACCAAGCCCAGTCTTTCAATGTTGCTAACGTATAGAGAGAGACTGGGACTGGAAGTAAAGCAAAGAAAAATAACTAAACCGTAAAGCCACTGACAAAGCTTCAAGCACTCATAAGTTACTATCCACCTCTGGCTAATTGTATCAGTGATCTGACCACTAAACACCTAACCTCCAAAGAGAAAATAAACAGTAAAAGTCAAAGAATTAACAAGATGAGACATAAATGTGGCAAAAATACAAACCTAAAACACCAATTTCAAGACCCGACAGGCCTGTCTTAATTTTATCATAAATATCATCCAATGAAAAGTCGACAGCAATGGTCCTTGTTTCAACTTTGAATTTTTCTTCTGGAAGAAAAAAGCAAAAAGACAAATGATGAGCAAAAGGGAAAATTAATACATGGCAATTATGATTAAATCTCTGGATAACATTATCCTTTCAAACTTTCTTCCCCCAATTTGATATGACATTTAGAGCAGGATAATTTAAGCAATCATGAGACTATTTCTAAGAGATGATAGAGAGTCAACAAAACAATAGTTCAGCAATTAAAAGTCACAGCATCGTCACTGAGCTGCCTGAACGCACCTTGTCAATTCTCCTCTTGTAAATCAATAATGATAACTACTTTTTCAGACTCAGGCACAAATAACAAAACATGATTCATGTCATAAGATTATATACTCTTTAAATATCACTGCCTTTGTGACTTTACCTGCAAATTCATGTCTCTTAATCTCAGGAAGAAGTCTTTATGTTATAAAATAGCATTTTAATTATTAATCTATTCTCTCATATATTAAATCCCAATCAGTATCCCCTCCCTCTTCTCCTCTCAGTCCTCCCCTCCCTCCCTTACCACTCTCTATACACGCCTCCTTTGTTTCCCTTTAGAAAAGGGCAGGCCTCTCAGGGATATCAACTAGACATGGCATATTAAGTTACAGTAAGACTAGGTACTTCCCTCATATTAAGGCTGGACAAGGTAACCAAGTAGGAGGAAAGAGGTCCCAAAAGCAGAAAAGTGTCAGAAAGAGCCCCTGCTCCCTCTGTTAGGAGTTCCACAAAAACATCAGTACCTTTTTTTTTTAAATTATTTATTTATTATGTGCATTGGTATTTTTGTCTGCATGTATGTCTGTGTAAGGATGTGAGATCCCCTGGAACTGGAGTTACAGACAGTTGTGAGCTGCCATGTAGATGCTGGGAATTGAATCTAGGTCCTTTGAAAGACCAGTCAGTGCTCTTAACTGTCATAAAGTATTGTAAAGTGTGATACATTAAAAGAAAACAAAGTTCACCTTAGTAAAATGAATGTGATCTTACTTTAGTTTCTGGACTGGTTAACAGTTAAGTCCCTAATGTAAAGAGTCACACAAAGTGCACAGTAATAAGCACATAAAGGGACATAAGAAAGACCTTGGTGCTCTCCTTTCCTCAAGACTATTAAGGTCCAAAGAGCTAGTGATGCAAGAGCTTCTGAAGTGAGACCAAGGGAAACACATTCATCAAGGGTAGGATACAATGTTTACTTTCACCTTCACAGCCAAACCCTTCAAAGCCTGTGGGCTTTGAGATCACCCAGATTTGGATATTAATCTCATCCCTGTATTTCTTTATAGAATGACTATGAGCAAGACAAACATCATATAGGAGCCTCAGCATCCTCTTGCAACAGTGAAGTAACTACTTCCCAGCTCAGGCCACTGGGCTCAGATGATGACCACTGGTATAGAAGGCACTTCACAAATGCTAGGCCTGCCCCTCCTCTACCACCTGCCCTCCTTCCCATAACATTAGCAGGCTAAGAATGATGTTCTTTGAACCTTAGGATAACTCAAAAGAATTAATTTTAAAAATCTTGCCTCCCAAAATAAACCTTTCTTCTGTGGGAGCCAATGTGAACTCATCAAGCAGTTTTCATGATTAATCCTTAAAGGGAGCATCCATTCATGATCTCAAAGGATTTGTGGCTAAAGCTAGAGCTGGCTTATGACAGACTGATTTCTAGTTAGAGTCAATGAAAAGTATAGACCCTCGTAGAAGTTCATGCACTTGCACAGAAGACCAAGATATTGACCAAGAGATACCTTTCCTGGTGTTAAAGGTACAGTTCCTGTACAGTCAGTAATGTGTGTTTATGCATTGGAGAATAAACTGTCTCTTGTTGCTGGGCCAATTATGTCTTAATGGAAAATGCCCCAGAACTCCCCATTCTACTTAACACTGACTTTAAAACAGCCCCAGATTAACATGGAAAAACAAGCCCCTAAACAACAGACTGAAAGGTTCCTTATATTCAGTGTAAAATTTTTTGCAAGAATACGATACCTTTAGTTATTTGATTTGAAAAGCAATGCTTTTTTTTTTCCCCCACATGAGCACTTAGTACTAAGCAAATGTCTCTAAAAACAAAAGTCCCTATACCCTTCAGTCAAATTCACCCTTCCTATCACCACAGGATTTAGTGAAGACACTTGCGTTAGTGCACATCACTGGATACACATGATACTAAAATCAACTGATGGACTTTTGGAAAGAAGGTTCTTTAGTGAAGAACTCTATGAAGCTTTCTTTGTGTTCACACGAACAGGCAATATGTCTCCTACTGTAAATTTTTCAAGATAATTAAAAGTTTTCAACTTATTCTTGGGTGACCTCAAATCAGGTTCTGGACAAGAAGGCAAAGTCTCTTTTTCTTTTTAGATTTTCTCCACTCCTCTACCATAGACCATATCCTCGTCTTCTTCCCAAACCTCTACATATTTCTACCTCACTTGTAGTAAGAGCTGGAAGTCCCTGGCAAGTACCCAGATACTTCTCTTAGCTCATCTCCAGCTGTTCTTTCCAGTTCTAGGCACAAGGCTCCTCACAGTTCCTTGAACACAATGTGTTCCAAATACACTAAGGGCATTTTTACCTCTTTTTTCCCGCTGTCTGCAATGTTGTTCCAAAGTCCATGTCTCTTTTTGGGTCCTAGAGCAAATACTACCTTCTCAGAGAAGCCTGGCTTTCCCAGCTTCTGAAATATACAGCTACCCTCCTTTAGCACCATTGACACCTTTGCTTTTAATAAGGTATGTACTTGTTTGTCCATCGGTCGAACTGAGTTTCTAAAAGACAAAGACCAGGCTTTGTCTTGACACATGTGATAAAGGACCTCCCCACTATGGTCTCATCTCCTTAAGCTCACTCCCCTCCTTGATTTAATGAGGGCCATTCCCAGTATCACATGCTGATGACAATGTCCAGTGGAAGAAGATGCTATAGCCATCCATGACCGGTAAGTGAGGGTATTGATGCTACAACCATCTGTAAGCAGTGGTACTCTGATTCTACAGTAAGTGAATCTCCTCTTAGCAGGGGTTCTCTGATATTGCAGCACACGAACTCTGATGCTGCAGCCAGGTTGCTGTTTCAGAGTATCCTGAATGATCCTGAAAGGTCAAGTCTGGAACTGAATCCACAACAGTCTGAGGAGGCTACTCAAGCAGCTTTTATATAAAAACTAACACATTTCAATTCAACTGCATAAAGGCCATAAACACTGAAAAAAAAATCATTCTAGTCTGACCACTGTTACATTTTGTTCAACAAATGGTAAGTTCTAAACTTGCATCTCCTATGTCTAATAACTTTATATACTTTTGGACGAATTTTCCTAATTCTCTATCCCAAGTATGTTGATGTAGAGAAATTTTAATCCAGCAACATGGCTGCTCTGGCAAGAGATCATATTCAAAGACCTTCTAGTTTTGTGACCCAGCTGGAATGCAGACACACTCTGGATTACAGTATGATCTGGGTGGAATACCGACACATCCTTTAATCCCAAATAAGGAAGGTAAGGTTGGTTTATAGAAGGAAGCAGCCATGTTTGAAAGTAATGTCTAATTGAGGGGCAGTGTAAGTGACAAATCAGAGAAAAAAACTGACAGAATGAGTCAGCGATAGTATATACCCAACCCTCATGAGAATAGCACAGAAAAGAGAGGTTACTTAAGAGCAGCAGAGGGAGAGAGTTTTTACTGAGAGTTTCTTCCTGGGACAGTTTTACAGAGACAGGTTGCAAAGAGAACAAGCCAGACACAGGTGAAGACAGAAAGAGCCAGAGCCAGAGCCAGAAGATTAAAATTAGTTTGAGACCAGGGAGAATAATTCAGTCAGAAGCCACGGGAAGCCAGTTTTAATCAGTCAGCTTGGAAAGGAATTGGTGACAGAACAACTGAGTTGACCCAGCCAGTGAGAGTTCAGAAAGAGCTATAAAGGCTGGGAAATGGCTCTCATCTCATTCCCTCATCTGAGAAAATAAAAACATTTACAGCTGGTGATATTAAGTATGAAAATGCTAGAAGATATGCCTAACCTATACAAACTTGTATATTTTTCTAAGTTTTCTACCAATAAAACCAAAAGAATATTTTCTTCTCCAATGATCCCCATCTCTGCTCCAAAACATTTGCATTCCCTGATATGTTTCATGTTCCATCCATGTGATAACTATTCTTGGTTGTCAACTTGACTACATCTGGAATTAACTAAAACCTAAATAGCTGGGCACACGTGTGAGCACTCTTTCTTTCTTTCTTTTTCTTCATTTCTTTCTTATTCCTTCTTTTTCTTTCTTTCTTTCTTTCTTTCTTTCTTTCTTTCTTTCTTTCTTTCTTTCTTTC